CTTGTGATGTCAGTACGTTGCAATATTCTGTGAATAGATTACAAGCAATTGAGCGTAAATCAACTAAATTTGCTATAACAATCGGTTAAATGATGCAAGTTAAGGCAGCCGTAATAGAGAGTGGAACGATTGTAGACACAAATACCAAAAGTTTGCAATATTCGCACGTCATTTCAGTGAGCAAAACACAAGACACAAATGTCACTGTGATTGTCAGTGTGACATGAAAATAATTTGTATAATTTTTTATTTACCAAATGACCGGCTATTGCTCCGAGCACCGCAGCACGTAGAGATCTTTGAATTATCACAACTAAGGCAAATCTTTATTCGCGCGCAATCGAACACTGCTTGCCGGTTAGTAGCAGTCGCGTGCTGTAGCGAGTGAGTGGCAGAAGCATACACGCTTAAATAATGAAATATTCGCAAGGCAATAATTGAAACTCAACTATTTTAATGAGTTCGAGCAGATTGATTAGGAAATTAGCGAACTGACACGAAGTTTTAAACAGCAAAAAAAGCTTACACAGCAAAAAAGCTCACACAGCAAAAAGCGCTTTTAAAATAGAAAGCATATTTCGTGAAGTCCCAAACAACCGCAGCCAACTTCGCTTAAATTCTTTAAATGTTCCAGAATTTACAAGAATAAAACACAAAATTTGTTTTTAAGACACAAAGGCTTCAGTCATATAATACGTTAGATAAAATCTGTAAAATTTTTCAAAACGTTTTTAAGTGATGGTTTTTTTGCGAAGAATTAAAGTGCTAACAGGATTGCTAAATAACTTCCGAGATTGCTTTCACAGGTGATGCTTCACTAGAGGCTTTTCTGGCCTTGTCAACAAGTCAACTTAAAGATATCATATCGCCAAAAACTGTCGATAGAATATAGTACTCAATATTAATAGGTCCCTATCACCATAGCCACGCATGATCATCTCGTCTACACTCACGTATTCATTTAAGACCAGAAACAGGCGGACAAACAACAGCGCCATCTGCTGACAGGGAAACGAACACAGGCGAACAGCAGAACACACACGAGTCGCAATTATGAGAGCGGCGAGAAATATAGCCACAAGTGGAAAAGTTTTTGCGAAAAATCATTTCTTATCCATATACATATACGCATATCAATATATATAGAATATTATCTAAAGTAAAAAAACTGAAGGTGAAAAAATGTAGATCAAAAGTTAGAAACCAAACATTGATTTACTGCATAATATACGAGTACTCATTTGACTATACAAAAGAATTTTGGTATACAAAAGAAGTAAATTCACCGAAATATTCCCAAATATCAAAGTGTTATAGTTATAACAAATTACTTAAGTAAAAATATCTCCCTTAAATGCTTCATTATATTCCTCCCTTACGGCTATCTTCATAATGCTTTGGCATCACCTTGACTTGTAACAACCAATTGAAATATACGTATCTAGATCTCATGAAAACTCAAAAGTGCTGTAATAAAAATTAGAAGCTATTATTACTGACACATTTTCATCAACCATATTTTGTGCCTCACCTTTGCGCCTGGGTATAATAATATAATATATGAATATTAAACTAAGCTGCAGCTATTTTCAAATTCCTCTTCAATTCATATATGATTTATGGCATGAAAATGATTCACAGCTCGCGCTTTCAATAACTTAGCATGAGCATACGCTCATAACTCAATACCGTTAGGTATAGTTTTCTTCACATTACCACACATGCTACTAGACGTTGCACGTTATTTAATATAATAATTGGAGTGCAGACATATGTTAGCATTTAATTCTAAAGTGAAATTTATTTCATGAACTCGTATTGCAATCTTCTTCAACTGACATGTGAGTAATATTAAATTTTTTTCTAAATTTCTTGATTCATCGCACAACGGTGTTATCGTGCCACTTTGCTACTTTCATTGGTGTGAAATGAATGGGAGTCGACAGCTGATTGAAAGCGCATTTTTTCCACATACAAAGCTGCAATATCAATATGTGCGAATAATATGCTATAAAGCAGGCTTTCTTCAGCAATAAAAAATATCATAAATGTAGAATTAATGGTATTCTTTAGTGAATGGTCTTTTGTGATTTGGCGTGGGAAGTAGTTGTAATAAGAGCTCACAGAACTGTATACATATACATATATGTATATACTTGTAGTAGTAACAATTTAATCTGAGGCGGATGACTTGTAACTATTTAAAGAAATATTTAAAAAAAACTTCAGTAGCGCCGAAACTGTAAAATTCTACAGAAATAAAATGTAAAAAAACTTAATTTTAATTGATCAGTTTGTAAGGCAGCCATATGATATAGTGATCCGATCTGAACGAATTCTTAAACTTTTATAGCCTTGCTTTAGACAATAATCTGTGCCAAATTTCGTGAAGATATCTTGTCAAACTAAAAAGTTTTCCATACAAGGTTTTGATTTTATGGATCAGTTTATATGGCAGCTATATGCTATAGAGCTCCAATATCGGCGATACTGACCAATGAACAGCTTCTTGGTAAGAAAAGAACGTGTGCAGAATTTCAAATCGATATCTCAAAAACTACGGAATTAGACTGCAGATATACGGATGGTTAGCTCGTCACGCTGATCATGTATATGTAGGTCTCCAACGTTTCCTCTTGGGTGTTAAGAATTTCACGGTAAACTTATCATACACGGTTCGGTGTAGCAACAGGTTCTGGTGGGTTTATCGATATTGTACCAAAAACTGTTTCCAAAATATTTTATGTGAAAGTTACACAAGCTTAATAAGATTTGTCAAAGCGACTCGATACTATAAAAATCAGATCTGCTAAAATACCAAAGTTTTAAATAATATGTCATCTAATCCTTTAATGATTTTTACATACGAATGGACTGTCTTTAAAAGCTTATAGAAAAGGCTTTGTATGGTTTCTTTACGACAAATGAAGCACGAATAAACCGCAATTTATAAACCCACTACCCATCCTAGTAAAATATTACTTCGATTGAAAGTATCCAATAAGGCTTAGATGGAAACGAAGCCTTATTGCATTCCAAAATCAATATTTAATATATACATGTACTCTATGACAGTTTGATTTTTTAAAAAGTATAAAACAATTATCATCAAACATTATTCTGATCAATTCGTTTTTTTTTACCAATGAGTTTTATTTGACTTTCATATAAACCGTCTGGAACCCCTGAAGCTATAACCGAGCTTTAGAAAATTTTATTTAAATTTGTTTAGAGCCTATTTTCATCAACTTCATATTATTATTAAATTACAGACAGTATTCTGATAAATAATATCACAATCTTTCAATATTTTATAATATTGTAATTAAGAAAACTCACTAGGTGGCGCTATGGTGGAAATATTTAGAAATTCCGTATTACCGTACTCTTTTTCATACTTATAAATAAATTAGTTAGGTAAAAATGTGGGCAGGGATTGGGTTATTGCCAAAAACAGAGCTATTTTAGTAACCTTGTGTCTTTCGAATTGAGTTTCGAAATTGCATATTTGTATTTGTCGTTCCTATTAACTAATTTTAATATCCCGATAAGTCGTAAATCTATGCATATTTAGAAGCCATAAAATCAATATAAATGCGTCATTGTAACAGCTTATTTCATTGACAAAGATAGAATCGTCTAACAACTCATTCACAAAATCAAAAATATAATTTTTTTTAATAATATTTTTTTGATACAAATGTCGAAATGTTTTTAGACACGTAAGCCACACGGCATCTATATATGGAGCAGAGCAGACTTTATGACGTTACAAATTCTTTACACTATATATAAAATTATAATTACGTCCAAGACATTATATTAAGCGACGAAGCAGGGGTGGGGAGCGACTAACGCCTATTTCAAAAATGTACTTACACTTGAATAATTCATAATCAGCTGTTTGTGCGCTAATTTATCAAAGTAATCCACAGCAAAATGTAATGAGAAAATATTTTTACAGCAAATTCCGCAATTCACTCCCAGACCTTAGAAACGCACTCGCAAATTTTATAGAGCTCCCGCTTCTAGCTATTGCTGCTAAAAAAAAAATTTTGTACGAGCATGTAATTGCTTTTGGTGTGCTCAGCGCAGCAGTGTGTTAATGCAATTTGAAATTATTGTCACGTCGCAATTGGTGTTCGTGCCATTGTGTAGAGTTCAATTTGGTCGTTCAACGCAGCATAGAATTGTTTTCAATTTAAATTTATTTGTAGTCGTTATATTTGAAGCGCACAATTTCTTAATTTTGGTCTGTTTTCAAAACGGTGTTAATAAAAATAACAATAGCTACAAACGTGTGTTCAATCTGGGTTGTTTTTGGGTTCAAGGCGTTGTGAGGTGACCCCTCATATTGGGTTTTCCGCCAAAGAAGTCGGATTACAAGCCAATATTTTCACAGATATATTTGTGAGAAGATAATTTGTTAAAGTGATAGTAGCGCAAACAGTTAGACTTGTTGCAAAAAACTTTTTTATTAAATTAGCATGAAATTTTTTAGTGAGAACACTTTTACTAAAACTGTTCCCAGCAAAATTTCTAAAACTTCGTATGATTTTTGTAAATAAACCGACAAAAAGACTGTTATTTGCCAATTTGCAAGTGAGAACAGTTCCAAAAAAGTGTTCCTAAATAATTAAATCAATTAATGTGCTTTGTTCACGTTTAATTTATCCTTCAATTTCCCTGAACTCTTTATACATATATACTAGCATTGAGGCAGAAAATATTCTGAAATACTATTGAGGAGAGTTGTTGAGTTTGCAGTCATTGGTCCAATAAAAAATCGGTTTCGTAAATCCAACTCACGCGAAAAAGAGAATTAAAGTTCGAAAGCTTATAAAAGTCCTCGTAACGCTGACATGCAAAGAAGTCGTTATGAATTTTAAATTTGTTTGCTCCCTCTTTTCTTTTTAAAATAGATTATTCTCCAAAATTTTCCATTAAACTAATATTGCAATAACTGTAGTACAAATTTTCCATATTTTTTGCATTTTCAGGTCGTTTCGGACGTGTCATTGTCATACCTAAGGATGGCAACGACAATATGTTGCGGCGTGAGACCTTCCAAGAATTGCGACATCTGGATGATCTCATACAGAATGCAACCGTCGAATATGAGGGTGAATTATTCACTTACAAAGATGCATGTGCACGTTGGGAGAATGAATGCTTTCAGAATGATATATTGAATTTAGATTTCATAATGGACGACGTAAGTGGCATTAAAACTTATTTTCATTTTAAAAAAAGTTAAACTTAAATTACATCACATATCACTCTCTGCTTCAGATTGAGTCCGGCGAACTGAATCTCACTTTTCCAATTATGTTTAATCCGGTCACGTGGGATGCGCACGCGTTTCCCGTCTTCTTTGGTGGCACAAAATTGACGGAGGATAATATAATTATTAGTGTGCCGGCAATACAGTTAGTTTATTTTGTGACTGCGGATACTAAACGGCAAGATGCAAAGTAGGTTATTATTTTACTTAAATTTATATACGAAATTAAATATATTTTGCTCATTTTGCACACGCAGAGGTGCCGAATGGGAAGAGACTTTCCTGAAAGTTGTAGGTAAAGCTGAAAATTCAGGTCTCTTCAAACACATATCAGTCTCATATTTCGCCTCACGCACTTTGGATCATGAGTTGGAGAAGAATACGCGTACTGTGGTGCCATATTTTAGCTCAACATTCGCATTAATGGCGTTATTTAGGTAAGTAAAAGTAAAATATTACTATAGTTTGTAGTTTTTTTGTTAAATATGAAGAAGAAAAGTTTTTGGTAAGTGAGAACAGTTTAACATAAACTGTTCCCATCAACCATTTCCATATTTTTGCATTTCTATGTTATGGTTAGACTTTTAACAATTTTTGTGTAACTGTACCCAGCCAAGTTTACATATTTAGCAGCATAATTTTAGTTTTGACCGTTTTATACGGATATTACAACAATTTTCTTTCACATCCAAAATATATAACTTAGTTTTAATTACGTTAATATTTATGTTCATTACAGCGTCATCACGTGTATGATGGGCGACGCCGTACGCTCCAAACCATGGCTTGGTTTGATGGGCAACATATCGGCTATCATGGCCACTTGCGCGGCCTTCGGTCTGGCCATGTACTGTGGCATTGAATTTATCGGTATCAATTTGGCAGCACCCTTCCTAATGATAGGTGCGTTCACACAATTACGTATAGTTTATTATGCTATACACACTTGGAAATATACATACGTACATATATACTTACAAATATTTAATTTTAATTTCTCGTTCCCGCACTCTGCAAGGTATCGGCATTGACGACACATTCGTAATGTTGGCCGGCTGGCGGCGCACACCAGCCAAAATGCCTGTGGCCGAACGTATGGGCCACATGATGTCTGAAGCCGCTGTCTCCATAACAATCACGTCGCTCACCGATCTATTCTCATTTTGGATTGGCATCATTAGTCCGTTCCGTTCGGTACAGATTTTCTGCACCTATTCGGTATTCGCTGTTGTCTTCACTTTCGTTTGGCACATCACTTTCTTCGCCGCCTGCATGGCGATATCGGGTTACAGGGAACGACACAACTTGCACGCGATTTTCGGTTGTAAAGTGCAGGCAATGTCCGTGGCCATAAAAGGTGAGTCCATTTTTTTGCTGTGAATTATTAAAACTTTGCATGCTTTGTTAGTTACTATTGTTCCTACTGTGGTAAATTGCTTTTGTTGTTGCCAATTGCCTTACAAATGCAAGCGATACCTACAATTCGACGGCGATGGCGGCGGCCTACAACTTTCACAAATCGCATTACGTGTATATAAAAATAATTGTTGTTGTATACAATTTACAAGTACAACAAATATTTATTTCCGTTCATTATCGCAGCGCCGGCAACAGTTGAGTTTTCAAGACATGTTTTCGCCATTTTCATGGTTCATTAAATTGTCTCGCTTCGGCCGGCTGTCGTTTCGTCTGCAAACATCACTTTTATTTTCTTTTACTCTGCGCACTCTTTATTACTTCACTTTGCTTTTTCTACTGCTTTTTCAGTTATTTATTTTTCCAACTCTTTTTGAGTTTGTTTCTTTTATTGACTTAACCTGCATTCGCACATTGATTTTTTTTGACTTTGCAAAGCTTTGTTAGCTGTCGGCTTTGTTGACGGCGTACGCTAACTGCATTCAAAGTCTATGGTTTGCCGTATAACTCTTTTGTTACTTGGACTTTGCCATTGAGTCTTTTGTGTCTTTGGATTTTTTTGTGCATTGTAACTTCCAATTTTCTGCTGTCTTTTATAAGCGTGTTTGTGTTGGTTGTCTTTGCCTCGCAGCCCCTAATTACCACATATAACAACCGAACAAGTAGCTATCGGCTGACAATTGATGGAATGATTTTTGCTACTGTTGACTTTTGTATAAAATAAAACTTTGTTTTAAATTATAAACTTTATTTGCGTAAAAATTAAGTATTGCATAAACTTTCTTAGATTGGCCCAAATTTTGAAAAAGGTGAATCGAACAAACAACTAGCTTAAATAAACTAGGCGCGCGTAACAAGCAAAGCAAATATTGAAAAAAGTTATAGTGCTCGAAAGTGGGCTTCACATACAATATTGTATTAGAAAAAACTCGAATACTTTGAGTATTCATCATATAACTTTTTGTTACTTCTATTCTAGTTACGATCGGGACATCTCTTACAGTTAAGGATTCTGCTATAGTTGATCATCTAATTAAAGTTTATTCTCTCAAATGTATATCCTTTTGGTTTCATTTTTAATATTAAAGTCAATTTCGAAAACCAAATTTATAAAAATATTATTTGTGGGCAGCTTTTGTAAAATAAAGTATTGCATACATTTTGGCGCATTCATAGAATTTAGTTTAGTTTTAATTATTTTCATTTATGGCTGAAATATGTTGCTTAATTTTTTTTTTCAATTTCCGCGCTATTCCGTTAATTTTGTTTCCTTGAGAGGCTCTGAATCTGTGTTAAAAATCTGATTTACAGTTATCTCCAGAGAAGAAGTCTATTGAGTGAATGGCAACGCTCCAAGAGGGCATTTGGTTTCATCTCTTTCGATTTCACTTTTTCATACATATTATACAGTCGAATACCTTTCTGAAAATAAGTAGTTGAGTTTAGGTAAAATAACTGAACCGCCAAGATGGTGCTGGAGTTCTACTGGAGTGCTATATACAGTCCTTTGTGAATCTATAAAATAGAACTCCTAGAATCAGATCTTATAAATCGATAAAACGCCTTGCGGCCAATGCAAATCTGCTTAGTCGTTTTATTTATATTCCCACTAGCTTACCGGCATGTCTAAAAGTGTTACATCCGAAGTATTGTAATTAAGTCTTGATCTGACAATGGTGAGATATTCGAGAAGGTAGTGTTGAGATTATTCTATCTCATGCTCTTCCAAACAGCTTATACAACTGGCAACCCATATAAGTAAGAAATGAGAAAAGTTTGCTCTTATAAGATTTTGAGATTTTTTTAACATGTTATAACTAGCAGTGGCTAATCGGTCGGGAAATGTTATCTAACAAACTATAACCTGGAATTAGCAAATATAGCATAAAGCTCTCTTCATTCCACTCTTATTTACACCAAGAGCAGCTAAATAAGATCAAATTTTAGTTTTCCTAATATACTTGTAATACTTGAAGTGGAAAATATTCATATCTCAATCGAATCGGACCTCACATAAACATATATATTTGTATTCACGCAAAATCACACGTACTTTCCCAGCATACGAGCAAATGCAGCTGGTAAGCTCACCCCATTATATGAACCAATTTGTAATGACGAACATCAGTCAAATAAACCACTTCTTGCTACATAGGTATAGCTGCCAACTCTATTAATCTCAACATAATTAACTGATTCGTTGTTTTATGTAGACCAAAGCCTAGTGAACTTGAAAGTCGAAGATGCCAACTAATAAAGGCAGCTCAATCAGACAATATTACACGAGAGAAAAAGCGGGAATACTTGTGTGTAATGCACCTGTGCATTTCAGAATGCAACAAAAGCAAAAGCAAGTAACTAATAACATTATTAGAGCAACAATGAACGACGTAGCTGTAGACATAGCCGTGGAATACAGAATTCAGCGCACTCGATGCAGCATAGACGCTTTTCTAGGTCAATGTTAGCCATGCTTTGTAATGGCAAGACAAAGTAATATAACATAAATAATTACGGTTAAGAAAATTGCAGTAATCTATTATCAAGCGCACATTGAAGTATGTTGCCAATGATGGCGGTCTGTTGTAGAAACGAAGCTTAGCAATATTTTGTTCACTATATGTTCTGGCTTTTAAGACCTTTTTAATTTATAATTTCATAATAATTTTTGAAATATTTTTTCACTTAAAATATATTTTCCAGCAATTTTCTAAACAAATTTTCCTCTTTTTTTTATAATTTCTATTAATATTTTTCATTTTCACAGAAAAACGCAATTTCTTGTACAAAGCTATCATGGCTGGCGGCATCAATCGTGATGATCCCGACAATCCGATTGACAACAAAGATCACATGTTTATGGCATTCTTCAAAGATCATCTGTCAGCTGTGATTAATAATAAATGGTGTAAAATACTAATCATACTGACATTTGCAACATATCTAGCTGGCGCTTGTTATGGACTCACGCAGATTAAAGAGGGTTTGGAGCGTCGTAAACTTTCAAAGGCTGATTCATACTCTGTGGAGTTTTTCGATCGCGAGGACGAGTATTATCGCGAGTTTCCATATCGCATGCAGGTATGTTCAAAACCATATAAAGTTTTCGGGTACATTTGGTTATTATCATATTTTCACTACACAGGTAATCATCACTGGCGATCTGAACTATTCCGATCCTATTGTGCAAGATCAAATCGAGGAACTGACACGCACACTTGAGAACACATCGTATGTCACCTCATCGCTATATACTGAATCGTGGATACGTTCGTTCCGTTCGTTTGTCGATCGCAACAATGACTATCTCAATTTGACCATCGACGATGAGCAATCGTTTATTGACGCTGTCAAGGAGCATTGGCTTTTCCCTGGCAATCCATTTTCACTCGATGTCAAATTCAATGAAGACGAGACACGCATTATCGCCTCACGTTTCCTCATACAAGCCGTGAATATCACCGATACGAATCACGAGAAGGAAATGGTGCGCGATTTGCGTAAGATTTGTAAAGATTCGCCGTTGAATGCTTCAATATTTCATCCGTACTTCGTGTTCTTCGATCAATTTGAGCTTGTGCGTCCGACTTCGATACAGTCAATGATCGTTGGTGCGCTCATTATGATGATCATATCTTTCATCTTTATACCCAACATATTGTGCTCGCTGTGGGTAGCCTTTTCGATCATTTCAATTGAATTGGGCGTTGCTGGTTATATGGCTTTGTGGGATGTGAATCTCGATTCGATTTCTATGATCAATTTGATTATGTGCATTGGCTTCTCAGTGGACTTTACCGCACACATTTGCTACACTTACATGTCGTCGAAGAAACGCAGCCCAAAGGCGCGCGTACGCGAAGCACTTCACTCACTCGGCTTGCCTATCGTACAAGGTTCCACCTCGACAATACTTGGCATTATAGCTCTGTTGCTAGCACAGAGCTACATCTTCCTAGTTTTCTTTAAAATGGTATTTCTAGTGATCTTCTTCGGTGCAATGCATGGACTCTTCCTGCTACCCGTGCTGCTGTCACTATTTGGACCTGGCTCTTGGCAGACTTGGTCTGGCACAGATTTGGGTGACGATAGTGATGAAATTACCGACGTTGAAATTCCCATGAAAATGTCTAGTATGGACAAATTGAATTCTTACTACTTGCAACAGCATACACCTTTAGGACTGCCTATGCCTTATAGCACCGGTAAAGGTTTTCTGGGTGCGCCCTACAAAGCTTACGGTGATGAAAAAGATTTGGGTATCGGTACATCTGGCGAAGACTCCTCTGAGTCCAGTTCGAGCCGTTCGCAACGCCGCCAAGCACTCGAAGACGAGCATACGCGCCGTCGCTATGAAGAGGGTTGGCGTCGTTCATCCTACCACAATCTCTACACCAACTCGCAATCACAATTCCAGCCAAACGCCGATCTCTATGGCCAACAAGTAACCGCACAAGAGTGGCGTGCGCGTCTCGAAGAAGAACAAGAGCAGCGCAAGCGTAGCGTAATCGGTTTGCGCGCATATGATAACTTTGCGTCCGACTTTATGCATATGCAAAGACGTCACGCCACACACGGTGAAGATGTAATCGATACACCTGCAGCGCGCATAGACGCCGGACACTACACGCCCACATCATCGCTAGACGAACGTTCGCGACGCAAGTATCGACCCGCCATAACCGCCGCCGTAGCCACAAATGCGCCACATAGCGCTGGTAGCGGCGATGACAGTAGTTATCATCAGCAAATAAGCGCTCCAACAGCCACAACGACTACAGGCGTAAAACGTTACCACCGTCGACGCTCTTCGGAGGACTCAACACGCCATTATCAACGTTGGCCGCCATCAAATATTGAAGAGCGTTGCGCACGTCGTTATGCCAACAACAACGCTCGCGACGATAGCGCGGCTTATGCGCCCACGCATGCCAACTCCTCCGCAACAGCCGCCGCCAATGCATACCGCCCACACCCGCCAATGCGCTCCTCATCGCATCACAATTTATACTATCCCAACAACGTGCAGCATCCACCAACATATCAATATGGCGGCTGTTACTACAAATGATCGTGGAGCGGTGGAGAGTGAGCAAGCGCGCATGTTTAAACGTAAAAGTGAGAGCATAAGTAGCTGTTAGTAGCGCATGCGTGAGCGCAATAAATGAAGCGAGGACACAAACCTCGATTGCACTTTATTGAACTATGCACTATGCCAGTTACGAACTGGACATTTATTGAATGAAGAAAAGCTCATTGTGGTTTTTTTATAAATCTAGTGTTGTGTTGGTTTAATTTTTCTTTTAATTTTTGTTTTTGTTTTATTTTTAATTTTACATTTATATCTTTTTTTATATTTTCTTTATTTTTTAACATTTGTTTTTGTTTTGAAATGTAGCTATTCAAGTTTTATTTAAAAGAAACAAAGTTATGTTCTAGTTAATTTTATACACAAACAAATCTAGAAAATATTTAAATGCTAGATATATAAAATATCTATAAATAGTGTAAATTAAAAAGAAAACTAAATACGATTAGGTGCTTGAATTTATAAATAATAAATATTAAAAATAAATATTTTGCTTAAAAAGAATAACAAAGTGCAAAAGTATATTTTGCTTAAAATAAAAACAAAGTGCAAGAGAATTTATTTAAAAAGTTGCACTAAACTTTTTTGTTTGTAAGCTCATGAATTTTATAGTTATAATTCCAAGCATTCTGTGTAAATTCTAGCCTAGAAAATTATTCTTCTTTCACACGTTCTTTTTTTCTCGCTTCTCATTTCTTACCTTTCTCTGATTGTTCTGTATATTAGAACAAAATAACCCTAAAAATTATAATTTTTAATTAATTTTTCTTTACGTTTATTATCGTTTTTTAATTTGTATACCTTTCTGCGCACTACCATTTTAACTTCGAAATAATTTAGTTAAAATGAACACTTTGTAAAGAAAAATGAAATATTTTTAACATTTTCTGTCAATGTAAAATATCTGCTGTCACTAAATCAAACTGACAGTAACTTCCGTTAGTTGAAAACTTCATTTTTGCTGTTACTGAGAAATACTCATTATCTGCATAGAAAATATTTAAGCATCGCTCGCAATTATTTATAAACGCGCTTTTAACATTCATTTGATAAAATTATTCGCACTACGTTATAGTTTAAAATATTTTAATTGTATAATAATTTGTGAGTTATTTTTATTATAATTTTTTATTAGTATTAATTTAGTATATACAAATATTGTTCATATCTAGCATAAGACGGATTTTTGAATAAATATTATTTTTATTTCAACAATTTCGAAAAATTTTATTGCATTAAAATGTAAAGTCAGATGGCAACCCTACTCCAAAATATATCACAGCAAGTCACGGCTACCGAAACTCGCATGCATTGAAAGCAACTCAAAAGCGGTAAATGTAAGAAAGCCATGAACGTGTGACACACAAGTTTCGGATATATTTGTCATTTGAGCCTTCGAAAACTCATAGAAACTTTCACAGTAATCTTTAGTAGCACTTTGAGTAATTAACTAATGATTTAACGAATAGTTGGCTTGCATGTCACTTTAGTTCAATACGCACATTATAGTACGTCTTACTGAATTATGATTTTTAAACAGATGGCAAGGTTTCTAAAACAAAAAAAAAAAATATTTCTAAGATTGTTAAGTGATCCGTTTTAAAAAGTCCGAATATTACGCCTCGCAATCCAATAAAAAAATATATATAAATCGGTGCATCATATCATCTGTAGAGTTCATTGTAGTGAATGATACTATGGAGCGCATTATATTGTTTTTTTGGGTACACGCAAGAATAGATTTATCTCTATTATATAAAAATAAGTTATTTATACCTTATCTTAATACTACTTGTAGTACAGTAAAATGGTTGCTTTATCGCAGATAGTCTAATCCAAAGTTAGATTATTGAAAAACGTTTCATACACGAGTTGGTTTTTTTTTATATATTTTGTTAATCCCTCAAAATATATTTTACAACTAAAATCATATGAATTTCACTTTAGATGTCTTTAATTCATTGAAACAGCTAAAGTGGCGAATGGAACAAACAACTGTCATAAGCAAAATATAGTAATATCGATATATCGAATATCGATTAATAGAATATAAGGAAGCAGTGTTACTTTACTGTGCTAAACTCAAACATGAAAATCAAAAAAATCTAAGAGATAGTATTATCAAGCTATTCCTTCTAGCTACCACTGCACCTAAAACCAGGTACTAGTATGACCATAGCAACTTTGTGTTGACCTATGACTATGAAGAAACTATCTATCTACACTCAAACTTCTGTATATATACCTATTATATAACCAATATATAGTGCAAAGATAAGCATAAAGCAGAAAGCAACGCTATTGGCTGAAGCGTGAAATGCATTGAAACGCATTAGGGAGCGCACCCTAAATGCTGGCTGACACAAAGGGATGAAGATTTATTCAAGGATAAAGCATAAGAAAGGAAAAAAATTAATGCACACCAAATGACGACAAAGTTTCCATAAATTAATTAAAACGAGAAAGGATATCAGCATGGACTGAGGGGAGATAAATAAATAAAATTGGTTGCGCTGGGAAGTGAGTACTTAAAGTGAAACGAAAGTATATGAAATGAATTATACATTAATAACACAAGTTAAACGTAAAACAGTTTCAAAATACCATGTTTGTATGTGTATTTGTTTTATTTAATAACTTATTAATTTATTACTACCGCGCTCATGGAAACTCACGTCCCTATTGACAAAAAACTGAAACAGTCGATTTTTACAAGCTTCTCTTGAGATAATTTTTATTTTCCTGCTGAATCATTCGCCATTTGCAGGAACAGATAGTAAACACTTGCTGCTAAGTCTGGACTATAAGGTGGATGTCGGAGAGACTCCCAACCAAGCATCTCGACCTTCTGACGCGGCACTATCAATGTGTGTGGTCTGGCAATGTCCGGATGGCACACAATTCCTAACTTATTGGCGAGAGATGGCAGCTTCTGGGCGTTAACTTCTCGCAAAATGGCTTAATTGTTGATAAAGTAGGTCTAAAATAAGATTTCTTAGGTCGTAGAGTAGCAACTCTTAGTAGATAATTTCCTGTGAACCCCATCAAACATATAGCAAAACCTTGCTGATCGCTAATACTGGCTTGGCCACCGTTCATGTCGGCTCATCGCGATTGTACCTCGATAGTTTCCGAAAAGAATCCGCTTTTCATGTGAATTCTAAAAATTTCGGCTAAAACCATACTGGCCGACTGTTGGGCGCTTTGTAAGACTTTCACCGCACAACAACCATTCAGCGTACTGTCGATTGGACTCAGGTTTATAATGCTGTATCCATGCTTCGAACATTGTCAAAAGTCATCAGACCAGAAAAACGTTTTTATTGGATTTAATCAGTTCCATACTATTCTTTGAAATTGTCATTTCACTCTGAGATCGATATTCGTAGAACGCTAGATGCCAATGTTTTTGCACGCAAACTTCCTTTGGTCTTTTTAAGAATGTTGCCGCATGATGACTTGGTCATTTGTTCAAGTTAAAAATTTTCAAAAATATAACGAAATTTATAAAGGCTAGTGGGCTCACGCTAATATTAGTAGGGTTAGCCATATGAACATGATATGAAAATGAACTAAAACTAACCTAGGTACCAGGTCATCACGACTATGGTACCTTCAGCTTATAACAGTAATATTCGGTTGGTTGGTTGAATGAAAAGGAAAGCGCAGAGGCGCCAGATCACAGGCGGTAACCCAGATGATATTAACCGAGATACCTGCTGAGAGTCTAGTTATTGACTGCATGCAGAACCTAACGCAATGAGACTTAGTATCGGCGCTACAAATAGCTTTAATTGCCGCTTGGCTGTCCACTGGAAAGTTTATGGACTTGCTGGTTAGAGCAAAAGCACACTTGGCTCTTTCTGTTATGCCAACATTTTCGGAATGTAAGACCAAATTGTAGTTATTCAGCTTGAAGCTATCTTCTTCTTTACTATAGAATCTTGTTCTATGAAATGCATATAATCGAAATCGGAATATAGCACTACTTATAATACCTATATTATATGTATATATAAAACAAATACAACTTCTTAAACACCAAAGCCTATATCAAACAACTTTATTACTTACTTCATAAATTACAATAAAAACAATAAAAAATTTCATACAAACACTATATTACTTTTGTAAAAAAATCGGTGTATCATAACTAGTCAGCGGACAGCGAGTCTCGCAAATGAAATATTTTTCATCATCGCAACGATCATTACTCCACTGACCATTCCCCAATAACGAGAGACAACTTCTTTTACGTCGAATTTCAAACGGTTTACCAAACGCCCATCTATTATAAGTAATAGGGCGACCAATGCTTAACCAAACCCATCGTCTGTTGTCTGCAAGTTTTGAACCGGAGAGCCAAAATTCCTCATTGTTTGATGCGAGACCTGAAATAAATGAAAATAGTGACTTATGAGTAAACTTTTAACTGCTGAGAATTAAATATACACTTGCCAGTATTCGACAAATATTTCTCCAACAAATCATTCTCTGCTTTCGTATTGATGCTGGCCAATGACAGTCCTTGATAACCGCAAATCTCATGAGCTTTAAACCAATTTGCCTTAATATAGGCAACAACAACAAACGTTTTATCACGTAGAAGACCTGGAAAAGCACGATAACTGTAGGACTCATCCAGAGCTTGTATGGAGAAGTTTGGAAATATTAGATCGGCATTTAAATCCTGGGAGCTGTTATCGGCGAACAAATTTTGTGTCACAAAACAAAGAAAAAACAAAACTAAAATGTGTTTTAGCATTTTGTGCATAAAATATTATGTTTTTGTGAAAACAAGTAAGAAGTAAACTGTCGTTGCTTAATTTAGGTGTAGAACTGTTGGCTTTTATAGCTCTTTTCAGGCGTTTTAAGTGCGTTAAAAGACTATTGGAAGGAAAGTAACCGGCAAGTGGCATAAATCATTGTCATTGCTTATCAGCGATATTCTGAGAATTCTGTCATAAGGCTCATTAGTAAACTAATGTAGTAATTAGTGAAAATTGTTTAGATTCATTGAAAGTAAAGAACGAAAGTGTTTGGTTTTAGTAAATAAAATTTAGTCACGTGTGAAATAATCAGTAAACGTGCAAATAGCAAATAATAAATAATCATAAAAATAGTCATAAATGTTGTTGGTTTATGGTAATAGTAATAACATATAAAAGCGCAAAATATTCGGGGTTAACATTTTTGATGGTTAAGTCTAATGCGTGGTACATCAATTTGAATATCAAAGTTACTTTAGGAGAGAGATCAAAGATTAAGATCATTTATTCAAACAATCTGCAGAAGTTATGTTTTCAGACTTTTCTGAACAGTTTATGAAGATAAATTTAATAAATAAACAAAAATAATTTACAATTACAGAATTTAATGTACTTTAATGTATTTTAATAAACGGTGATGCATTTTGAAAAATTTTGTATACCCTTGATCCCGTAGGCGATCTTCAGTAGGAATATGAATGGCGGTGAGTAAGATTTTTCTACCTAAAATTATCACAAATTAAAAAAGCAAAACAAATATTATTATCATGAGTACAGATTAAGCTCGAAGGGCTAGACAAAATTTTGTTTTTTGACATAATGGCAATCTATCGAAAAAGCTCGTTTTTTGTGAAAAAATTTATACTTCAAAGTGGCTTAAATAATCGAAATTATTATCAAGAATCTTATTCTTTCGATCGCTAAACGATCAAAATAAATCTAAAAAGATCGTAAGAAAATTTCAAGTCGAGGTTCAGCCTTTTCCGAGAAATTTTCTTCACCGACTCTGAAAACGCGTTTATAGTTTTGAGAGCCGATTAAGTTTAAATATTCTTACAAATACGCTCATATCTTCGAAACTATTTTCGAAATCAATTTCGAATTTTCGGAGAATATTTTCAAATATAATATATGAACAAGCGATATGCAAAAAAAAATTATTATTTGAATTTCACAATTGGATATAACCCCTTAAATGTTCCATAGCGAAGTCTACTTTGACAGTCAAAGAGCTTAGAGTACTCTTTCTCCCACTCTTTACTGACAATATCACTACAATTATTCAGTTTTTCGCCAAAGATTCTCTGATTCAGCAATAGCTGGTTTTGGACATATTTAAGTCTGTATGCACGGTGTCTGACTTTTATTTTATCTCGATTTATTTTTGTTATCAACGAATAAAGGGTTTTCAATAGCAAAGATAATATAGTATATAATTTCATTGAAAGTATTTTATAAAATGAATTTTTCATAAATATAATGTGTTTTTAAATTGGACACCGAAACCCTATATTAGTAACGGATAAACTTTTCGAAGAGTCTAGCAATATAATCTAATAGACATTTATAAACAACGACTTATATTCATTGTAGTCGACACTGTCCAGTATTATTACTAGATTCTACAACGATTATCCCTTCCGTTGCCAAATTGGATTTGGAAATCGAGCTAATCACTCTACATTGTGTGCAGGAACTATAGCGGCTAAGTTAAGTAGAGCAAAAATCTATAGAGCACAGCTTTCAGAAAAGTAGAGTTCGCTCAAACTCTGGTAACCATGCTACTGACTATTATACGAAAATTTGTAGAAATCTAGTTCCACCTTTAGAAAAACATTTTGGGACATGTAAAGTTTTGCAAAATTATTTTCAATACCTATGAGTATTTTTAGTTTGGGCAGATTGCGGCTGGAAACTTGGATCTTGGAAGATCCTGCTATCATGTACTGTTTTGCACTCCAATTCGCTTTAAAAACAAGATTGTCGAAATCAAAAAAAAAAAAAATTACTCAATATGCCTAAGCATTTATAATAAAAAGCCGAAAGAAAAAATATTAACATAGATCCCGTCACATCTAATCAAAAAGTGGTCACAAAGGTTTAAAAGTAACATAATGCTTATAGACAAATGCTAGTATATTAATTTTCTGCTTTAATATTTGGTTCGATACGATTTGAGCTTTTATGCAGTCGACTCTTTGCTGAGATGGTCAGATTTCTTTGGGGAAAATTTCGAGGTTATGGTCAGTAATATCATGTATAGCATAGTTGAAGCGGGATAAGTATGAATATGGTTAACAATCGCAGATTAGATCTGTGTAAACACTTTTACAGATTTAATTCCAGAACCGTTAGTAAAAAGTTACTGACTTATGCGCAGAAAAAAGTCAGATGATCTTCTTTTCCTTTTCAACAAATAGCTATTTCGACCTTCGCACTCTCATCACCGCCTTCCATTAGCGTTTAGTCGTTGTACTCATTAAGCAAATAACGTCGTTTAACGGTTAAACAAAGAACTTTAGAGACAACTAATAAAAGTAGCAGATAATTAGACTGAGCGAGAGTGTTTATAACATAAGTGAGTAACAAAGTTTTCAAATGAGCTACAACTACACAGCATCACGAATGGCGCAGTGGATTACTCCGAAGGTTGCATAAGCTACACGAACTCCTGCACATATCTACAACACTAAGCAACGCTGTCACAGTTTTATTTTACACTCGTTGTTAAATTTTATCACCAATTCCCCGTTTGTGGCGGTAACTAATTCAACTGCAGCTCTGACAGTTTTACTTTATTCTAAATGCAATTGCACGCAACTTAATGAAACACATTTGCCGCAATGTGTTGCAGCATTTGCACTGGGATTTTTGCTATGATTTTCATTTCCATTGTCATTGTGCAATGATTAACTTAAAACGTTCATTTGAATCGTTCATCGTTTTTGCAATTAGAAGGAGTAACGGTATTTAAGTTTTATTGCTGAACCATTTCGACGAAGTGACAACAAATGTTTCGTTGTGAACGCAAGTTGATTAAGAATAGTTTAGTTATAAGAAAAGAGAGAATTATTCTCTGTCTCTTGAAAAGAAAACATAGGAATACAAGATAGAAAATTGTACGAGGATTAAGTCATTTAGGTATTGCATTTTTTTTACGAAGAAATTCATATTTTGTTCCATAGAGTCTCGACTTCGAAGAAAACTGAAGTTGTTATATTTTTTATTCGCAAGAAAATAAAATTTACTCTAAAAATATCTAACGGATCGAACGAAATCTTACTACAGTGGTCTACCTAGTTCTTTGTTTCTAAGCGAATCGTGGATGTACTTATCTCAAAATTTTATGAGTTTTTGTGAGCTTAGCAGCCTCTTTCAGGGGTGTGACTATTCAGCAAAGCGACAGTACCAGCTTTGAGCTCATTCACTGCGCGTTCAAAGTTGGCTAAGGAGTGTCTGTTCTCGCTAAAAATAGCATGAAGCTACTTCATCGAGACTCGTTTGGGTGCCCGCTCATAACGGAATCGTTGGTAACTGCAAAGCCGATGAGCTGGCAAGAGGGAGCAGCCTGCCCCGTTCACCACGGAATGGGAACGAGTTGAATATCTATTGTGAATTGGAAAAAATCGTGAGCATCTCTGGAGACAGTGAGAGTGGAGACTGATGTGTAATCGGTTTATCTTGGAAACCTTGCTTTGAAGTAAAGCGCTCCCGGGGCAAGGGTAAACATCCATTGGTTGTGTTTTAGTGGCCACCCCACTCACCTAGGATTACGATCCGTATATCTAACGAGGGATTTTTAAAACCTCATTACGGTCTAAAAAAAAAACTAAGCAATTTCTTATATCTGCCCAAGTGTGATTTTACTATTGATATCAGCCTCAATTTCACCGCGTCTAAAGGTATAAATGTTACAATCTGTTATACTAGCAAGCCAGTTTAGCGCGCGGCAGAATAGTTATAGATTACATATGACTGCAGGTGTGTAATTATAAAATATATTTTAATATAAATTGTACGCTTTCGCAAAACAATCTTCGTGCCAAATATACTAACTTGTCATTTGCACTAAAAACTTGAGTTGTAAAAATTAATTAGCGTAATTAATTTAGAGTTTCATTAAATTAAAATAGCAGCAAATGACAAAGGTAGCAATTTCACGCAGTTACTTTGACACTTCCACTCATTTTCTTATGCTTCGTTTCCACATTATTGCTACTGGTGTGTTGCAGAATCGCTACCCCTCATGTTCCGTGCGGCAGCAAACTCAAAAGACATTACCTTTTGTGCAAAGTTGAAATGCGCCATTCAAAGTAGTGTCATAACTTCCAACTGCTGCTGTCAATTTTCACTCGCACACACAAATCGCATATCGATGTTGAATTGTATAGAGCAGGGTGCATTCTTATGCTAAAATCACCTTAGCACTGCTTCACCTTAGCACAGCAAGCTCACATCAGCAACGCAAGGAATGTAAGATTGCGTATACGCCATGGTGCACAGCAACCAACACAAATGCTCAGTACGCATTTTATGCACCGCCAGCGCATTACACAGCAGCACAATGCTAATCTAGTGAAAGTTGATGAGCATCAAGGTAATACGCGTATTGAATGATGCTAAGATTTCGTTTGCGTGCTTGTATTTTACTGTGCCACAGCACGCATTTAATGCCATCGGAAATCCTTTAAGCAATGCAGTTCGTCTGTAACTTTATGTGTTTGCCAACTGAAAGCCAATAAATGCTACCTGCCACATGCTACTTATGTTGGAAAGTTATTGGAAGCGCCACTATACATATATGTAGTTGTGTGTTGGCTTGCGCTCACCGGCTTACGAATATTGATAAAACCCAATTAACATTTGGCTAAGTGTTTGGCATTGAGCTTAAGTTCAATAGAAATGTGTTTAGAGAATAATATGTTTCACAGTGTAATAAATATTATCGTTTAAAGTTTTTTTTTAACAATTTAAAATAATTATGTTACAGATAGGCTTACATACATGTATATACCTATTTTAAACTTTCACAGTAATCGTAAATAAAGTCATGCCTTTCTTTCAATCCAGACGTCACGAATAAATATATTTGCTGTCAAATGCGATCCACAAAACATGACTAGATGAAATTGCT